GCATGTGCTTCCTAATAGGAAACAAATTCAAACTTGCTCTATTCTTTATGGGTTTAATATTTTTCAAACCCCATTTAGTTTTATCTAAACTACATTAATTAAACTTAAACTTAGGATACAATAATTATGTAACCAAATATAATATCTATTTATCTCTATCTTTTTGTCTTTTTCCTCACCTAATATTATAAAGGAATAAAAATTTCATATTTAAAATACTTATTTAAGTTTCATAATTCTATAACAACCATAATAATATATTTAAAATCCTTTAATTTTTACTTTATTCAAAATTAAACCTATATATTTATTTATGCGGTTATTATTATTATTTTTTAAATTCATTTTAATAAAAAAAATTTAAAAAAATTGTTTTGCGGCCCTGATTCAGTACGATCAGTGTCGGCTATCGATTGCGGCTTAAGATAGGTTTACGTTGGCCCACTCCAATTATTATATAATTTTTTTTTATTTTGATTTTATAATAAATAAAATACCATATGGATAATGAAGTTTATAAATTTAGATTATTTATTAACGACTAAGCACAATTTGCCTAATTTATTATGTTTTCTTGATAAGGATGTTGGTATAATTTTCATTTTCATGATAATAAAATTAATAATAGATTAAAGGGAAACATTTTTCATAATAATATGTTTTTTTTAATTATTCGTGTTGATTTCATGCATCATGTTATTAAATTATCCAATTAATTAGATTTTTATGAGCATGTAAATCATGTGTTACGTGGTTAGTTTGACCATGTAATAGGTATACGTGTGCTTAGCTTAGGTAATGAATATCATGTAAGTGATACACAGTTAAGAGTCGACTTAAAAGAAAGAGGTGATCAACTCGGACTTTCCAATCTAAACCATAAAAGTTGGGTTAGATTAATTTTTTTTTTTTTTTTTTTTTTTGGGGTTGGTTAAATTCGGACGAGTTGGTGGGTTGACATCTTTTTAATCAGGTTAACTCGACCAACTAAAAAATAAGGTTACAACCCACTCAAACTCTATCATACTTTTAAATTATTACAAAAAAATTAAGAATCCCATAAAATTTAGGTTGGATTAAGTATAAACTCCATTCAAATTGTTCGAGTCACGGACTGATGGTGAGAGAGGACATGAGACAATGGTTGCGAGGAACATTGTTGTTAACTAGGTTGTTCCGTTTTTCTGACACGACATAATTTTGAAAGATTTTGGTCAATACATTTGTTTGAATGCTTACTAATTTGGTGCGGTGAAATCAAATTTTGACTGTCTGTGTTATTACTAAATGCATGTCTGATAGAGCCATTCCTGCAACGGCATCGTAACTTAGAGAAGTATTTTCTATTTTGAGGGAGTGGCAAAGGGTGTCATTTGTAAATACCCATGCATCCATCTTTGCATGTTTTTCATGTCACGCTCCGCCTCTTGTCTAAGAATTAAACATCGACACCTAATGATTCTAAGAGTGATGAAAACTATTACCACAAATCAACACAAACGGTAACCTCCTAACTCTACCGCGGGTAGATATTGCCCACTTTGACACAAACCAACACAAATGGTAACATCTCACGTCTACCACTAGTAGATATTTTCTGCTTTGACACATATCAATACAGACTGTAACATCTCAAACCCACCGCTAGTAGATATTGTCTGCCTTGGCCCGTTATGTATCGTTATCAGTCTCACAGTTTTAAAATGCACTTACTAGGAAGAGGTTTCCACATTCTTATACTGAATGATTTCTTCCCCTCTTCGACCAATGTGGAATCTCCCAAAGCCCATTGCAACCTGCCTACTAGAAAAAAATTTAGGAGGTTACCGAATATAAGATTGCTCAAACCTAAATATACTAAACTTTGTAATTCTAATGTAGTTTTGGTTTATTCGTGTATAATAAATTTGTCAGTGAACACTTCGAGCATAAGCTTTCATGGCTTTGTTTTGGGCTTCTCCAAATGTCTCGTAACAATAGAGATACTATTGCTTGATTATAAACCCATAACCATTTCTTAAATTAACGGACGTAGGACTTTCATCCAACAAATATATTGGATGAATCTATAAAAGAAATATCGACCGATTGGGGAATTAAATGGGACTAAAGAGAGAGTGCAAATTTTGTGATGGAGACGCCACGAAGGCTGTATCATATCTCATTTCAAATTTCAACCCCTTCGCATGGGGTTGGATTATATTCCATTTAGACATACCTCACAAACTTTTTCCCCTTTCTTTCTCTCTCTACTTTTAGAGAGAGAATACAAACATACCTGTAAAATGAGGTCTAGTGAAGAGGGTTGGGTAAGATTGAGTTGATGTTACGTAAATTAATATATTATAGGTTATGATTTTGCCTATCATACACGATGAGACAAGTTTTACAATTTCTAAGCTTAAAAGTGAACGGTGAACCGTGTAGATTCAATTTTTTTAGTTTATTATAATTATGAGATGAACAGAGTGGAAAAGGAGCGAGCTAAATCGAGAGAGTAAGTGCTCTTCTTACGTGTAAAGTTGAACAAATAAAAGCTGATTTTACATATGACGAATCTTTCGAAAGAACGAAACAACTAAACCCTAAACCAAATCCCACCAAATATTCGATTTAGTTCTTAAAATTTTACTAAAAACGGATTACAAATCGAAGAAGAATATATAAAGTTAAATTCTAGAGTTAGAGCACTTATTAGGACATTTGAATAATCTTAGCTCAATATTTTAGTTTCTCGTAAAAAAAAGGTAAAACATCTTAAATAGAATTAGAATTCAAAAGTTCGTCAATAAATATACAATATAGTAAGCTAAATACTACACATAACTACGGTTCGACTAGCTCAACTATATACCTTCGATTAAAAGTTTAGAGATTTGAATTATTCCATTATCGTTAAATTAACAAACAATAAAATCACTATTCTTAATTATGTTGAAAATTGTTGGGAGCGAGTTCCACATTGGCTAATTTAGAGAATGATCATGTGTTTATAAGTAAGAAATACATCTCTATTGGCACAAGACCTTTCGGGGAAGCTCCCAAAACAAAGCCATGAGAGTTTACACCCAAAGTGGACAATATCGTACCATTGTGGAGAGTCGTGATTCCTAACATGGTATCAAGCCACGAAAGCTTATGCTCAAAGTGGACAATATAAACGATAATAATATAAAAATATTGAGTTTTTTTTAGAAGGTATAAAATTATTAATTTAAATAGGTAAGAATAAATATAATAGAGAGGAGGGAGGTGAATTATAAGTGAGTATATAATTTATGAAAAAGAGATATTATTGTAAGGAAGTTGGGATTTGGGTGTGAATTAATTGTCACTAATTTAATATCCATTTTTTTTTTTTTTTTAATTTAAAAAAGGAATCCAATGTAAGAGAGAGAAAGTGTTTGGTTTGGTAGACATACACACATGGGCATTTAAGGGAATCCAAAGACAAATAAGAAAAATATATATTTTTTTTTAAATAAATAAAAATAATTTAAAATCTTAAGAAACAGACACATCCTTCAATCATCGGTTTTGACCTACCCTTTGACGCTGCCCAAGCTGCCCGGAGAATTCGGCGGGAAAGGAAAATTTTCCTATTTTTTTTAATAAATTATTTATTCGAAACTATGTTTTTTTGTTGAAACCCTATGGTTTTGGCGCCAAAAGGAAATGTTTAGCCCGCGAAAACCGGGGGCTGCGGCGGTTATTAACCACTCGTTTTTTCGACTTAACACGTGCGTCTCCGTCATCTCCCACGTGTGTCTCTCTAACGGGGTTCCACTTTTTAGTTTTTATTTTGGAAATAATCTTTTCGTTTTAAAAAAATAAAAAATCAATTTATCTAATTGGTAAATAAAACCAATTTCTCTCGTAATTATTCTCCGTCTCTTATTTTATAATTTTATTTTCTATCATTTAACCTTAAATATTATAAATACCAAATACCAAATTAAAAGTCAAAGGAGAGTTGTTTTTTGATTGAGATGATTGTTTAACAAAAGAATATTTATTATTCCTTTAGTCATTTCTAAGTTTCATATTTTAATTTAGTTCCTTTTTTAATTTTACCTATTTTATTTGGGATATTCTTTTTTAATATATTAATTAATAACTTATTTTAAAAATATTAGAGCTTTCTAATAAGCTAACCTCCACCTTAGAATAAGGAAATAAATAGGTTTTTGTAATTCACACTTGAAAAGTATTTGCACGAGGATCCGAGGGGCTAACATAGGATTGTTTTAAACTAAGCGCATTTGACTTTGAAGTTCATGTGATTAAGCCACCGAAAATAAATTTTTCTAGAAAATATGTGAGTGATAATAAAACACGCTAAAATAACTCATCGGGATAGTATTCACTTTTAGAAATACTTCAAAACAAAATGACAACGTGATCATAACATAAAGGATGTAGGAAAATTCAGATTCTAAATCCTCAAAACCAGATTCTAAATCCTAACATGAATTATGGGCATGAAGCGTTACAAATGAATTGCGTATCCATCATCATTTCTTTTAATGGAAGGAGAAAGAATAACTCAATAGGTTCCCTTTCATACCCACATAAAATAAAAATATGTGTTGTGTTGTGCTTACAAAATAACTTAAAACGAGGAGGCAAAGCCCATTGGCTAACACAAGTTCCAAAACATACATGAATCAAAGCAAATGATACTTCCATGCGTGATAACCTTACATTAAATGCTACTAAAATGATACATCATGTCCGATATTCTATTGATTTACTTGCAAATTTATGCGACACTCAGATTTGTTCCATCTTCCATTGGAAATGATGAAACACTATGGATGAGCATAGTGGACAAAGAATGACCTCAACTGCTAATTTGTTCATCAATTCCAGCACTGCCTATGTGGTATATAACCTTTAGATGCAGTAATTGGAGAAGAAATTCAAGAGACTGAGCATTGGTTCTACAGAGGGTAATGACCCAATTAATCCTAAAGGAAAAATAGCTAGAAAATTCCAAGAGGGTTAAAGTTTACTGTATTAATCGTACACTATAAACATCAGTAACAAAGTAGGCTTTAAGACCTGATTACAGGAGCTAACATACAAGGGATGAACGTGTAACTTGTTCCAATTCAGTTCAAAGTGAAAACTATTTCTCAGGACTAATGAAAGTTCAATAAACTAGATGTTCAGACTACAGGGCAAGGACAAAAGTTAACTCTTTCCTAATTGGCTGGTCTAACCAAATTCCACACAAAAAACTAATCAATGTACCTCAACAAGAATGAAGTAAAATTTCTGTACATAATACCCAGCATGGCAAGTGAACCATACCTAAGTAGAGGAAAGTAGCACTGTTCCATGCCCAGAGGGTCTCCATCCAGTTCCAGAAGTCGCCGATATGTAGATCGTCTAAACTTTGCAAAGCAGCTTTAAACAAAAAGAAAGTAACAGGCGGAAAAGCTATGAATCCCAAAACAAGGTTACAGGCTGCCCTTGAAAGAGCTTTAAAGCTCCCAGGCACTAGATCAAGCTTCAGGGGATGTACCAACAAGCACATGGACACTACCAAAAAAGCTCCAAGTTCTGCGGTAGCAAAGTTAATTACTGACATGAGGCACAAACCAATAAAGGCCGCTGAGGTGGTCATTGCTTTCAAGAAAGCCCACTCTTGAATCTGCTGTTCAGAAGATTTGGTGGAACGAAGTGGAGAGCACAATACCACTGACAAAATTAGTAGCGTGAGCAGTGAAAGCAGCGCCCAAATAATAGATCTTGTTGTAGGACTGTAACCAGGTATTTGGCAGATGAAGTATGGAAGTAAAGAAACAACAGCACCCCATACATGAACAACAAAAACTCTTTTTGCAGCATTAACCCATTTCCATGATCTTAAAGAGACAATAAGCTCATCATCAGAATTTGCTGAAGCTGCAGGTTCAACCTTTTCCACGGTCAAATTCAAGTTATTGGCATAAGAATAGAGAGAAGCCGCAACTGCTGGTAATGGAGCAACAAGGAGTGCAAAAGCAATCATATATACACCAACGGATACAAATTTGCTGGTAGATACCATAAGATACAGAAAGAATGACTGATGGAACTTCTCCAGGAGGTTGTTTACTGATCGCACAACTCCTTCAATTAGCCTGCACAACCAACTCGAAATCCTTAGCCAAATCAAAAGGATCAGAAGAATTTAATTCCTAGTCTATAATTAACTCAGGCTGGGCGTAAATTGTCAATTCAAATTTACTGAATTGAAAAGGACACAGATGTACAACTTATCAAACAGATTCTATTCGTTTTAAGAAAGAAACTCAGTCCAAATTCATTTTAGTGAAAAGGAAGCATTTTCACTTACCCCCATTAAAACTATTTACAAATTAAAATTTAAACATTTGGCACTACCCGTGGGAAGTGGGAAATGACAAATCATAGAAAAGCAGAAAATGTATTGAGCACTGAAAAGTTCATGGTGGGAGGAGGATGTATTATAAATTTCTTGGGGGCATAAATGAGCACTGACCGGCCGCCTCGCAATATGAATTCATCATGCCTGACATTGACACCAGAAGGAAATTTGGGGGACATCTCCACAGTAATTGCATCAATTTGGAAATCTCGAAAAGCCCCATGGGAACCAGTAGGAATACCTACAGCCTAATGGCAAGAAGAACATGGATAATTTTAGTGAAAATAATCTCTGTTAACATAAATGGAAACTAGTTCGTTATCCTAGCCCATTAAACGAAACCATAAACAACAATCTCTTAGAAAATGAATTAAAGAGAAAACTACCTGGTAGTACAATGAACTTGCAAGTGTGGCGGTGCCATCAACATAGTCAGAAGCTGGCATGCCAAACTTCCATTCAGGGTTCATGCTTCTGATAAATTTTCCTATCGACTCAAACACTTCGCCCAAAACCTTGAGCCATTTGCAGTCTAGTAAAGGCAAAAACTTCTCAATCTTAATCCGAAAACCTTGCCTGTATACTGCTAGATAATTCACAATATTGATGAGGTCTAGATTTGGCATCTGACCATTGGATGCTTCAGCATAGACACTAAGACTATCCTCAAAGTGTTCGCTTCTATTTGAAACCTTAATAACGAGGGCTGCAGCCATCGTTCCAGCACGTTTAAAATCACCTAGACTCATTTTTTCTGTCATATGGTTTGCTTCAAATTCATAAAGGACATTTGTCTCTGGACAAGCATCTGTGTCAATCATGATGGAACGACCAAATGCAGGAGTGTGATAGTCTCTAAGCCAAGCTGAAACTGCCGCATATTCCCCATATCGTGAATCCGCGATAAGCCATACAATATCTTTGGCCAACCAAGTTACTTGGGCAAGCAAAGAAAACACTGAATAAGCAATACCAAGAGACAAAGTCTCATGAAGACTGGTCTTAACAGGATTGTAAGGTGTCACCAAAACAATGGCTTCCTTTCCATCGGCTTGTGGTGCTCTTATTATGCCAATAGTGTTAATGCCCTGTGTAATGCAACTAACATTGTCCCGAATGATCCCAGGATCAGGGCTAGAGAAAAAGTGCACTGGATGGAACTGACTCAATTGCGGGTGGAACCTGTGGTAATTAACTTCAGCACCCAAGTTCAATATATATTGTGCTATAATCTTCTGGCTTCCACTGAAAAATGAATAGAAAGACAAATTTCTTTATCATAGGTTAAGTAGAACAAAAAAGGGTCATAGAGGCAAGGGGAGCAAGAAGATAATGCTTATGGAAATGCGAAAAATATGCTATTGATAAGTTCGAGGGTAAAGATGAATTGGATAACTATGAAATACATTGCAATATAAGGGAAAAGAATTACACACAATTACGTTTATGGTCATCTCTACACACCAACGCTCCTCCTGTCCGACATAAAATGACATGCCAATCCACATGCACAGATTACATGGCCATAGATAATACCAAACTCACGCAGACATCACATCTCAGGAAACAAGACTAACCACATTTTGATGAAAGCCTTCATTTGATACATGTAACTTGTATGAGAACTTCAGAACTAATTGTCTAATACCTTTCCATACAAGAACTATCCTCAGCAAATGTCTCAAGATTGCAAATGAAGGAGGCTAATACTATATTCAGAAGTTCATATTGAAATCCAAAGTCGGATAATATATTCAAATATTCCTCCAAATGGGTCCATGAATTCCTTGATATTTTCATGGGAATATAGGATACAAGTGAACTTCAAAGTTCGGCCCTACCACCGACTGACTAAAATTCTTGTAATTAGCAAAATAGTTCGCCGAGTTAAAATGAGTAGATACCTTTAAAGCATGCAAATGCACGAAAGCATTAATGTCAGGGCATATAAAACATAAATCACTCGGACAGAATTTTCACTTAATTGGTAATTCTCAAAATCATAAGCATACAAGTTCAGCATAAAAAAAATTCCATTATGGTTTTAAAGGAGAAAAAGGGGGATAAAGCCGGTGCAGTGAGTGCATACAAGACTGTTGAGCCAGGCTGTGAATTCAAGCTCTTCAGATCCTTCACCAAGTTGTTCGAGTCTGAGACTTCCTGACCCGAAAGCATAGTATTTGCAGAGCCTGTGAGAAAATATATGCCACCAGATAGGATTACTGTCTATCCAAATAAAGTAAAATGAATAGATCACTGCAGAAGAACAAGGATACATAAATTTGATGATCCGATAATTTCAGATACTTCCGCAACTTCTAGTGAATCTTAATTTGTAATTAATCTACCAGGAGATCAATCAAGAAACCACAAAAATGATGAATAATGAATCAAACAAATTAGATAATGATAAGCAAGCTAAGCAAGAAGCCAAATTGACCTGGCATGAGAGCGTTCTCGGAAATGTAAGTGTTCATGGAGAACATAGGTAGTAGCAGAAGAGCTAAGACCCCTGCAGAGAAGCAAATCACGCTAGAAAACACCCAAAAAAGAAAAGAACAAGGCATTCATCAATGATTAGATTCTGATCCAAACTGAGAGTCAAATCCATGTAAAATCAACAGCAGCGCACCTGAAGAAAATACTGTGAGAAATAAGGAAAATCCCCAGGCGCACTATCGGCCGCGCCTTCATTTTTGGTTCCTCGGTCTCAGCCATCGGAAGAGGAGAGCTTCACGGTGGCGTTTTAGCTCTGAATCTGCTGCTCAATTGAAAAACCAAGTTCAGCAAAAGAAGAAGAAGAAACGTGAGCTCAGTTAACCCGGAAGTATTCGGGTTGAACGGTCGGTTCGGTTTGTCAAAATGATATGAACCGGATGATTCGGCTTGATCGGTTCGGGTCTCGATTGATTCTGCACCACGTACATCAAAGATATTTCTTATGCAAACATGGAAATTGCCCGCCAGAATCTTCGCATTTTCCTTTCTCCGTATTTTACACCGGCAAAATTCTCTCCCAGTTCAAGATTTCGATCGTCTGGTTTTGAGCCGACGATGAAGCCTCAATTCCCGATTATCATTTCTAGTAGTTTTGGAAGTAATGAATTCTAATGCTATCGCCATCGTGTGCGGGAAATCTTCACTGATGCTCCGATATATGGTGCTTGAAAATGACCGAAATGGAAATGAGAAATTCAAATCATTTGGAAATTCGATTCATGTTTCGCGTTCGCTGTTTCCTGGTAGTAGTTGGTGGAACTTAGATGAGCGTATGAAAGTAGAAGTTGAAGCTGCGAAGCCGCTTATACTTTATTTAGCTCTTCATCAGGTATGGAAATTGGTTTGGGATATTAATCAATGGCTTCTCCTCGTTCCTTCTGTAGCTTCAACACTGCTGAGGCGCAGTTAGTAAGCTGTTCTGTATTATCACTGTGCTGATATTTAGTTTTAGCGTTCTCTGTACATCTGAAATTGATTGATCTTTGCATGCTGACCACCGCACTAATTAGAAAAATCTTTCAAGAAAGATTCCATTCCAGCTTCTTCTTCTTGTTCTTCCTTCTTTTGATGATAACAAGAAACTTTTCATCAGGTAAATTGAAAAGAATTACATCATAGCCAGCCCAAAAAAAGCCTCTCCAATTGGTTGGTCCCAGGCTTGGAAGTTTTCTGAATGGGAAGATTGTTACTCGATTGAACAATGTGGGGTTGAAAGTAGATCCGGGATGATTGAGGTTAGTTCATGAACCAGTTGCTTATTGAAAAGTGGGATTTGATTTAGTGGGTTATGAGGAATCCTTGTATGTCTTTTGAGGTTAAATTGTTACGTGATCACGATGGTTATATATATTACTTAATCGTTGATAGCCATGATTAGCACCTTTAGCAGATGTGTTCAATTTTCCTTAGAAGCCGATACCTTAATTTGTCAAGTCTTCCTATGAACAGTGTGTACAACAATGTTCGTATGAGATCCCACATCGATTGGAAAGGAAAACGAAGTATTTTTTATAAGGGTGTGGAAACCTTCTCCTAGCAGACTCCTAGCAGACGCATTTTAAAACCTTGAGGGAAAGTCCAAAAGGGAAAAGCCCAAAGAGGACAATATCTGCTAACGGTGAGTTCGGGCGGTTACAAATGGTATCAGAGCTAGACACTGAGCAATGTGCCAGTGAGGAGGATGAGCCTCAGGGGTGGACACAAGGCGGTGTGCCAGTAAGGACGCTGGGCCTCGAAGGGGGTGGATTGGGGGGTCCCACATCGATTAGAGAAGGGAATGAGTGCCAACTAGGACACTGGATTCCGAAGGAGGGTGGATTGTGAGATCTCACATCGGTTGGAGAGGAGAACGAAACATTTTTTATATGGGTGTAGAAACCTTCCTCTAGCAGACGCGTTTTAAAAACCTTGAGGGAAAGCCCAAAGAAAACAATATCTACTAGCAGATGGTTTGGGCCGTTACCGTTTGAATAGTTCGAATTGTCAAAGTATATATAGTATTGTGTTTACTTGAATCTCTGTTGAACTTCTGGATTGATATCAGCTTACATTTGCTGCTTTTGCAGTTCAGTTGTCTGGTAAATTGCTTTGTTAATTTGTCTTTATTCAAATTCTTTGCTCACATTTTGTCTGTGCAGCGTAGTTGGCATTGGTTTCCATTTAAAAAGGAGAATAGTAGAACCCGTAATTCTCTCAAATACAGATTTGTACTGACAACTTGTCCATTAAGAAACAATAGCGTCATCAAACAAGTTCAAATTTGTTCATAAAATGGTCATATCCAAGTCTTTCTCTTGAATTGCAATAAGAATCATCGTCTTATGCCCTTACTCAGGCCTACTGCTCAATGCCTCTCTATGATCAACTTCATAAGAATCAATCGTCAAATGGTCATGTCCATGCTTCTTATGTTCTTTCCAAGCGATTGAACTGTTTCTTTGTTTTCATTATTATTTTAAATTTAGCTTAGATTTTGAAAATGTTATTTTTAGAGTAACAAAACTAAGAATTTCATAGATGGGAGTAGTGTTTACAAGCTTAGTTTTCAAAAAGATCGAACACAAAAAACAAAATAGGTATCGAACATGGTGATTTTTGTGTCGGGAATACTCCACCAGTTTCATACTAAAACAAGTCACTGTGCTTTGAGTTTCAGGTTATAAAGCCTCAATCTTTGATCACTCTGCTGAAAATTGACATGGAGTTAATTGATATACTTCATCCTGCTGAAGAACACCTAAAATATTTCTGCTTTTTCAGATTGCATGTAAGTTAAGTTACCAAGTTTATTCCTGTTTGCTTGTGCTTTCCCCTGCCAAACCATTCATCATATGTAATGCCTTCTTTGTGGTCTCTCTCTCTGAACCTAAGACACAACGTCTTTTGGTCTTGTGCAATCAAGGCTACCTATTGAGAATTTTGGCTGGAGATAAATATCAGAATCTTTTAAGGATAGATTTAGAAATTGGGCTTAGTTAGGAGGCATCCGTTTCGTTTTCTAATTCTTTCTTGGTTTTCTCTTTCATCTCTTTTGTAACTATGGATTTTTATAATATAGCAGTTGGAATGGTAACTGTTAGCTTCTTAGTTGGTGGATATTGTTTCCAAAACCCAAAGTTACCTCTAAAGCATCATGTCTCTTAATTTGGAGAAAGACTAAATTGTAGGAAAAGTGCTCGCCTCTTTTCAACCAGGCACTCGCCTCACCTATTTTCCACACTTGAAAGGTGCAACAATGGTGAGCTTGGCGAGCACATCAATAGAGATGCTTGCTAAAGCACAGTACAATGCAAGAAACATTTGCCCCACTTTGCTGTGCTCCATAGGCAAGCACATAAAGCTGCCTTGAGTTGAGTGACACTGGTTACAAGACTGGTTTTTTTTGTGAGATCCCACATCGGGTGGAGAGGGGAACGAAGTATTTCTTATAAATGTGTGGAAATCTCTCCCTTTTGCTAGTAGTAGGTTTGGGTTATTACATTTTTACTCCACGTGTTCTGATATAGTTCACTTACCAAAATAGTCTTCTTTGGTATCTGAAGGGGTAAAGAAACATGAATCATTTTTGTCTTGATTTCAATTGGGTTTTGTTTCAGAACTCGCAATGTGGGGGAGATTGTGACAGTAGAAGGCCAGACATACACTATCTCAGCAGTAACTCTAGGGGAAGTATGAACCAAGTGAAGAGAGACTTGATGTTTTGTTCACAGGAAGGTACGTCTTCAATTTGTAAATAAACCAATGATATTTATAAACTTAATTTTTAGGAGAAAAAATTCATTTTTGGTTCTTGAGTTTGTTAGTTTCGGAAGGACCAGCCAAACCAACTCCTTACTAGATCAAAGTATCTCAAACATTCTCCATAGACTCTACGGCTGTTTTACCTCCTTCAATGAGGTCAGGAATAGAGGTTTAGGGCCAGGAGAGTGTGCTTTTAGCTCTTCCGAGCATGTAGCTTCCATGCACGGATGGATCTCTCAGATTTAAAATATTACAATTTTACTTATGAGTTTTAAGTTTAGTTTCTATTTCATTCCAATGCTTCAATGAAAAATTAAATCTAAAGACCAAAAGTAAGTATTAAGAACAAAACTTAGAGATTAAATAAAAATTAAATTAAAAATTTAGAAATAAAAATGTAATATTTTAAAATTTATGTACAAAATTGAGTCTAAATTAAAGATAATATATATATATATATATAATATTGATTTTTTTTTTCTTTTTTAACTAATTCTTGAAACCCAAATCTAAAATGTTAGTATGTTTACAGCTAACAAATATGAACTTCCGTTGGCGCGTGTTGCAAGCACCACTGTCGCGTGGCTCAAGTCGTTGTCCAAAGCACTCATAAAGCGTTACCAAATGGGATTCAGAAGCAGAAGAAATCCGATCCCTTCTCCTTTCCCGTTCCCTCCTTTCCGCTATCTCTTTCCACCATTACCACTTTCTTCACTATTCTCATTCTCTGACCTCGTTTCGTCGATCTCTCTATGGCTTCCGATAATCTCGCCACCGTTTCCGGCGCCGACGACGAGAAGTTTGGATTTCGACGAGAGGAGATGTATCAGAGCAGCCTCGCTGGCACCGTCAGTGCCTATGATCGCCACGTTTTTCTCTGCTACAAGACTCCGGAGGCCTGGCCATCGCATCTCGAAGCATCTGATTCCGACGCCCTCCCTAGGCTCCTCTCTGCCGCTCTCAAAGCTCGCAAGGATGATATCTCCGTTAAGGTTTGCAAATCGATGCTGTTTGTTTCTGTATTCGGAAATCCTATTCCTTCGGAATTTGGCGTTTTCGATTTGGTTTTGTTAGGAGTTGTTGAATGCCGTGGATTTTAGTGGATGCTTTTGTTTTCAACTTTGTCTTTTAATTGGTTTTGTCAGACGAAGCTGACAATGTTCGCTGGACGCGAGGAAACTGGATTTTCGGATGGAGATGTGTTGATTTTTCCCGAAATGGTCAAATACAGGTAACTTTTGAGAATCAGGTGGAATCTTGTCGTGGTTTTCGAAAATTTTCCGGCAGCTGATAAGCTGCTGGAAATATGCTTTGCCACTTCTCAAGGATATAATAATTTATTTATCAAATATTATGAAATTCTTGTGTTCATCTTTATTTCTTCTGTTGTTGACTTTAACTTCTTTGGTTTCCATGCACATAATGAAACTTTGGGTATTCTTCCTTGCTACCTTCCTGGATCGTTATTTTTTTAGAATTAATCTGATCGCTAGCAAATTACTACGATTGTGGTTTCTGTATCTAGTATATTTTATCAATTTTGAGGCCAAACAAGTTTTAGATCAGTAAC